CCCCCCACCCCACAACCACCACCATCATATCTCACCCCACGGTGGTGGTCTGCTGCAGCACGGCGTCCCTCTGCCGGGACAGCAGCGTCTTCAGGTCGTTGGCCAGCTGCTCCTGCTCGGACCTCAGGGTCGCCAGCTCGTCTGACACCGTCTCCTCCATGTGCGTCCGCAGGTCCTGGTCACCCTCCGCCGAGCCGTCGTCCGGCTTCTGGTCGGGCTCGTCTCGCTCGGGGGAGTTGGAGTGGGAGCTGGGCTGCTGCCGGTCCGCTGCGGACGGCGTGTGGTGCTCCGGGGAGTGGCGGTGGTGCTCCGACTCGGACCGGTCCTCCTCCTTCTCCTCCTTGATCGCGCCGAAACTGGGGACACAGCGGGAGGGCGTATGACATATTTATCATGCACCGACAATGAACACAGCTGAAAACGAACGGTGTCTTAAATTGGTAACTGACTGTTGAGGACAGTGCTTCAATGAGAAAAACAACATCCTTACAATGCTTTCACAAAATTAGAGAAGTACAGTGCGAAAAATCGCAGGGCCGCATTCGTCATATTACAGCGCTGACATACCACAGAAAAGGTTAAAAAACTGCCCGCTAATCACAATTAATGGCAACTTTATAAGCCTCAGTGAAAATACAATCATAAAATGATGGGTTGCTATGGGTGTCGTCAATTTCATAAATCCTAACAAGATTAGAGCCTGTAGTTTGTAACCAATATGAAAATCATACCCCATCGCCACCTATCAAGCGAACCACACCTGACAGTTTTCCATGTAAGCCAGCAGTACATTGACTTGGTTCGGATACCACAGCAACCACAAAGCTCATCCCAACCTAAAAATATCCGCAGAAGCATCCCCTGCTCAGTCCCTACCATCTATCTGCGGTGATACTCCACAATGCCACAAACCATCTTAATCCAATCAACTACCACACTAGTCCCTAAGGCTCCTACCACACACAGCGTCGCAAAACCTCTCGCTCCACACATGTCCGACACATCTCTAGCTCTCTCACCCGTCGGCGTCGCCGGCTCCGAGTGAATTCCTCCTCCGCCTCAGCCCGGTCGTCGGTGTTACAGGGCTGCCGGCCGACGGGCTCAGCTGTCCCGAGTGACCGCCCAGGGGACTGCCCAGGCCGCCCAGGCCGCCGCCGCCCCCGCCCAGACCGCCCGCCAGCGGCTGGCCGGCCGGGCGCGGCGCGAACACGGCGATGGAGGCGCGCCGCCGGCCGCCCGGCACCGCCTTCTGCACCGGCTCGTGTAGGGCGATGTTGTTGGTGGCGAGCACGCGCCGCGCCTCCTCCAGCTCAGCGTGCTCGCGCTCGTAGAGGTGGCGCAGGCTCTCCACGTGCTGTGTCATGACCTCGACGGCGCGCGAGACACGCAGCTCCTGCTGGGCGGCGCCCAGCACCTGACGAGACGGAACGGAGGGACGGTCAGCGGCGAGTATCACAGAACGGAGGATGACAGGTGGGAAACACAACGACAGTGTGCACTGGCACTGTTTATTTGTTGACCTGCGAACAATTAAAACCTTAGCCCAATGCTAACAGAAAGCATGTTCAGTAAAGACCGATCAACTCGCACCATTTCGTTTTTTTTTAATTTGTCAATAAAAAACACTGATGATTTAACCCGCGCCGGGCCGGGGGGGGGGTGTTTGAACACCCCCCCTTGCGGTTTTTCGCAGATATCTCAAAAACGGCGGCGCGGAGCGCCGCCGTTTTTGGCACACCTGTTCGTGCATCTTTTCCGCACATGTTGTGAAAAATTTCAGAACCAGGTCACCTTAGGTCAGGTCACCAGGTCACGCCAAGTGACCTCACCTCAGAAAAAATAAGAATGCTCGTCATAGCTACACCGACTGAACGATTGCCTTGAAACTTTCAGCGATTGATTAGAGCAACACTATCTATAAAATGTATATCTCGGAATTTTGATATCGGTGACCTAAGGTCAGGTCAATTTTGCGGCCTCTCCATTATAAGTCAATGGGAGAAAATTGAAAAGCGCCTGTTTTGCACGAACGCTATTCTAGACACTCTCAAACATCGAGATGTAGGTAAAATAGACACACTGAGCCAGAAAATGGCAACTGTGACCCCTCGTTATGTCCCCGAGGTCATCTCAGGTCACGAACAGAATCTAACAGTTTTTCGCTAATAACTTCTGATAGAGGCGTGCTAGAGCGCTGAAAACGCCTTAGATGTGTTCGGCTCGACGTTGCGGATCGACTGATATGCAACATGACCTTTTCCGGTCAGGTCATGACCTTGACCTGAGGTCAAATTTTCCAGTTGACCTTTCAAGGTCAAATTATAGTTCGTTCGACGCGTCTCGACGAGAGAAACACGATGCTGGCAAAAGTAATGTCATAGCTCTTTTGAGTCAAAAGTTATTGCCGAAAAAACGTTTTTCGTAAAAACGGCTATTTTTGGAGTTTTTGCCCTCTGGAGGCTAAACCGTTGACCTGAGGTCAAATCTGAGAACATTACTCAGAAAGGTCTGTAAAAGGGCTATCGAATGCGCTTTTTTGCGGCGCTGTAGCTCTATCGGTTCCCGAGATAGCCGTTGGCAGTTTCCAAAATGTTGAAATAGTCAACATTTTACCTTTGGTGACCTCTGGTGACCTGACCTTTGACCTGACCCAAAAAATGACCGAAGTGTTTTCGTCCTTATTTTTGACGTTCTTTCGATTGCCGCTTACCGCGTGTCGCTACGTGGCCCAGGAGCCGAGTTAGAAGGGGGGGGGGTGTTCAAACACCCCCCCGCGGCCCGGCGCGGAATTTCAGAGCACCGGCCCGGCGCGGGTTAAAATTTTAAATGCATGTTTGATTTGACCCTCCGAAGTGTGTCTTCTCTTGTCGGTATGAGTCATTCTTTCAGACGTAGCCACCGGATCTGTCCGGCAGCGTGTCGTGTTCTCATACCTCGGCTGTACGGGAGAGCCTCTGCGATATTTGTTTTATGATGTCGAGCTGCCGCTGTAGTGACTTCATCTGCTCCGAGCGGTCGGCGTCCGACTGACTCAGCATCTGCAGACGGACACGATTGGGAATGTAACACGCCTGGTCATGATATGCGACTTTCGATACCGTAAAATGGGGCTATTTGAGACAGTGGGGCTATTTGAAACAGTAGGGTAGGGTGGGGTAATTTGAACATGTGGGGCAATTTGAACATAGTGTGAATAACACAAAATTACGGAAAATCAATAAGTCGCATGACAATAAGACCAATGAGAGAAATTATCGTAACTAAAAGGGCTATCATATGAACGGGGTTTAAAGTTTCAGGGAATGAAGATGTTGACGCACAGTGTAAAAAAATCAATTTCGCAAGGAAAAACGCCTAACAACACGTCATTGCAACTTCATTGCAGCGCAAAATCTTGCATTGCTAGCGCCTAATACGCAACGGCTTTTGTTGTATAATGACCTAATCAGTGCCTTCAATCCAAGAAATTTGCTTTTGAACCCTGTTTTTTAAAATGGCAAAATAACTTTTGGCGTGGGGTAATTTGAACATAGTGTGAGAATTTGAATGAAGACAGGGATAGCTCCGAAAAAACAACGCTCCCAGTTTTTTTTTGCCAATATTTTCGACCCAAGGCAGTAGCAGATAAGTGATGCCAGTTTTAGAAAATTTACGTCTAATATCCGTCTAATGTCCGGCATTTTGGTTGATTTTCCGTCCAAAAATGTTAAAGTCAACTATTTGTCCAAATATGTCCGAAAATTTATGCAGCTATCAACACTCAAAACCGTCATTTATATTGCTTATCATGTAATTTTACCAGCCGAAAAGTTTTCATTATATTGACAGCTTAACAAGCTTTCCATTCGCCAATTAATGCTATGCACGATTACTTTATAAAAAGCGCTGAAGTGTAGCAAGCCATCGTCCAATGTTGTCCAGTCTGCTACCTTTGTCCAACCAATTCCGAATTGGCCATTGGACAAAATCAGAACTCCAAATGTCCAGGTTTCGATTGGCACCACTTTAACAGATGTAGTACGGTTGGGAGAGTTTTTATCGAACAAAAATGATAGACGTTCTGTTAATTGAAAAGGGGCGTATTCTGTCAACTGACCGGTGTGCAGCGTGCAGATATTGATACTCTGCAACTGTTATTTTTGCTGTTGTGCTGATTTTTCAAGTGAAGGTATGTTTAGAATTGTTCTGCCTATTTGTTTATGGGTCAAACAACATCGGTGCTGGCGAGACTATCGTTTTTATGACAGGTAAAGGCAGTATGTTCAAATTACCCCACGGTGGGGCAATTTGAACACACCGTGACTTGGTGGAGAAGTGAGGCTATGCTATTCAAGGTATGCTCGGCTCGTCCAAAAATGAGGCTTGCATGGTGAAAGCAAGTGACACTTGCGCTACTGAAGCAGTTTTTCTTCATCCAGGGTTGAACTGGACTTTGGTACAATGGAGAAGACGTAAAAATATGTTCAAATTACCCCACACTACCCTATTTAAAATCGCTATAAAATGAAGATCGTTTGATTTATTTGTGATATTTTTGTTCAGGGAGGTATGGAACCGAGCAGTAAATCGTCTGAGCAAAAATTAATCATAAATTTCAAACGGTTTTTATTTTATAGCAATTTTAAAAACTGTCTCAAATAGCCCCACCTTACGGTACACTAAATCGCGATATGGTCGATGCACTTTAGTGGAAGCTGAGAGCCGAAATGAAATGATCGGGTGGACGAATAAACGCACAACCGAATGAATGAATGAATGAATCAATTAATGAATTACGAATAATTCAGTTTAAACAGCGAACTGAAAATTCGCGAATGAATAACTAATAAATTCAATGAACACGTTTACGAATAAGCGATATATTTTTGGACGAAATAAGCTATAACAGTAATAAAACTAATCATCCCTACAACAGCCCACTATCCATCCCTTCCGTCCACCGGCAGCCATTCATCGGACTCTGACCATGAGCTGCTCGCGGAAGCGCTGCGCCTCCATGTCGAGGTTCTGTTCGGCCTGGTCCCGGTGGCGTCGCTGCACGTCCAGTCTCTCGTGCACTGTTAGCCGGTCCGTCTTGAACGCCAGCGCCAGAGAACTGAACTTGCTCTGTAAGGCAGACGGGGGAGTGGGGTTAGACCGGTGCCAGAGCGCTGATGACGGACTGTGAAACGGACGAGAGGGAAATTAAGCCAAAGCCAAGTCAATGAGCTGAATTTGCTCTGTGAAACAGACGGGATATGAGAATTAAATCAAAAGACAACGAGCTGAGCATGCTCAGTAGAAAAGACGAAGAAGGGAAATTAGAGCGGCGCCAACGAACTGAGCTTGCTCTCTCCAACAGACAGGGTGAAGAATAACCAACAGAAAAACAAACAATCCTATCTGCGAGGTACAAAAGATAGCCACTAGAGCCTTGTGATCAATGGCGCAAAATTGTACTGCAGGAGTCAAAGAAAGCCGACATGACCAATCATCTTAAACAAGGGCACATGTGGTCGACATCACACTCGATATGGGCCCATATTCTTATCAGCGATACTACGCAAGATTAATACGGTCATTACCACAACAAAAGGCTAGGCCTCATAGCATATACGGTAACCCGACACATGCCTATTGCCTTGGCATATCATTACAGGTCATAGCTTTAATTTTCATTGGCTTTATCGCGACCAGGTAGCCATGACAGGCGCAAAGAGATAATTTAGCCAGCATGCAATGCAGCACTATGTCAGGTTTAATGCGGCCCAACGAGCTAGATGGCCGGCTGGGGGCACACAGACTTGTCCCACCGGTCAAAACCCTGAATGGGTGTCCTGATCAGGGTGTCCAGATAGCCGCACTGTCAAGATAAGCGTCGAGTGTAACCAGTATACGACTTGTACTCGCCCGGTTGGAATGAGCCACAGTGACTGCTGTATTTTAGTACGGGACATGTGTAACGACCCCTGCTGTTCAATGTCGTGCAACTAAGCGTCGTGCTTTGCAAAGCCCCAGGATCACATCGGGAACAAGAGCAAAGGTGGTAGGCAAGTACGGAGCTTGGAGACGTCCTATCGTAATCATGGAGCTGAGAGCCCTTCCTCTAAGCTCCATGAGCTCCGCCAAAATTACAGCACATGTTGTTTCAAGTGGCGCAAAGCTGGCGGCAACTCGCTTTTAACACTGCTGCCGATGGCAGGCAAGGTCGCAAGCTGACAGCATTTAGCAGAAGTTCAGCGACAGCTTCAGCATTCAGCAGACCAACATATCGCCTTGAGACAAACGGTGCGTTTAGGGATTTGCTCTAGCTGAAGTGACATCACGAGCACAGGATGAAAAATTGTTGGCGGGTATTTAAAGGGACCACCAGAGCCCGCACGAAGATATTTGCTCGTAATAAATACAAAGATCTTCACAACTGCACATCTGCAAGTTGCAACGAAACTCGGTATTAAGGGGGCAGCCAGCTACCACCGCCCGTTTATAACGTTCAGCTTCACCCGCTGTGAGCGTGTGGTAAGCACCAACTAGCGGTCATGAGCTCCGCCGAGCTACAAGGACGTAACACGTTGGCCGTTGCACAGCATATTGTGCATTGTTCATCACCGGACAACACCAGCTCCACCTTTCCATCGCTCCCTGACAGTGGGGGAAGAGATTGGGCCGCCATACCAGCAGCCCTGTCGCAGTCCACACAATCGCTGACCGTTGATCAGCTGACAACGGGGAGCAGGACGGGTGTCTGACCCGCCCAGCAGGAGTCAGCTGACCCTGTGACCTGCAGAGGCCGATCGTGACCCCCTGTGACCCGTGACGTCACACGGGCGAGGTAACAATGGAACAGGATACCCAGGACCACGTCCGTTACAACCTTTACGGCTCTGTACAGGCTGGGTGTGTCAAACGGGTTACATGGGAACAGTCTATCAACCCGGCTGTGTATTGGCGACCGAGTTTCTTCTCAAGCGTAACTACGCCGCAAATCAAGACCATTTCGTCTGTGAAAGCTAACGGATTTATCCTATCGCGATGCAAGTGACATCAATTGGAAAATACGTTCCATGATCAAAGCCACGATGTTAAATATGTAATTGCAACTGCTTGTATGTCATGCTGGGATACAATGCAACCCATCTTGTGTGCCCGTTACGCTGCTAGCAGTCAACATGTTAATCTCCAGTAGCTCAGCGGGGGTGGCACAGTCCACACCCGTCTGCACCACTGACGTCATAGATCTCCAATGACGTCACCGACGTGATAGACTGGGTCACCTCTGCACGACATGGGGCCATTTTCGGCAGCAATGAACAGGGTCAGACGGCTGTGCCGACATGATGTTCATCTGTTTAGCAGCCGCGACCGACTGAGGTAGCTAGGGCGTTAGACGGCCGTTAGGTGGTGTCGTGACATCTGTTCTGGGCGGCAATGACACGGCTTACAGCGACGGTAGGCGGACCAATGGGAGCGATCACTGCCCGGATATATCCCGGAGAACGGGCAACTTGTACCCGTCGGCAACTTAGACTGTGTGCGCCGAGGGACCTACGAAGCTGTAGGACCAAAAGCTGAGTGGATATGGCGACAGCTGAGTAGAACTTAGCAAGCCAGCGCTCAACCCAGACTTACAGGTTAGGCCATTGACGGTCGACTTGCAAGTGATGTTGACAGACATACGACCAGCCAGCCAGACAAAAGCGATACAGACAGGCTCGACGGACGGGCGCGACGTACAAACGGACTTACTGAATGGCGACCTGCACCCATCGGCACTGTTCGGGTTTAAGGGCGTCGCAGCAGCACACGATTCAGGACTCTGGCTACCAGAGAGGAGACCGACCAGCCGGAGATCCAGCCGGGAGATACAGCACGCCATGCTAATCACGTCCCTGTCACGTTTCGTCGCCGTAAAGCCGCCATCGTAAGGCACCAAACTGCTGTGACACCGAGCCGCGAACACAGCACGGCGACAGGTACGGCGCTGCGGTACCATTGTGGCGCGCCCATCAATCGGCTGGACTGCACCGATCGCCCCGCCGCAGCCCATCGGCGCAGGGCTGAACGGGGACGGCGAGCAGACCATAGCTCTGCGATGGCGATCGGTTGGTCGGAACAGAACAGCGATAAGCTGGACTGACCGATGGTTACGGCACCGGCTCAAGGATGACGGTAAATATCACGTCAGTAAGTTACATCAGTAGAGGTCTACTGGAAGACGGGAGAGTAACTCAGCCCCACCCATGTCTGCAGAACAAACGACAGATCGGAGACTGTCTGCGGAGAATATTCTTTGGTAAAACGGGAAGAAGATGACAGTGGTTGTACGGTAACTGAGCCGTATTTTTGTAAGCTCGCGAACAAGGATTGTTTAGGCCCGCAATTAAATCGGGGGATGCGATAGGTAATCAGCTCCTAAATGAGCTCCAAGCAGAACTAGAATGTTTTGCTCGTGGATGAAGATGATAGGCTCTTTGGCCAAATATTTTTCGGCACTTTTCCACAACGTTCCTTGTGTCATTCTATTTTCTGACCCCGGATATTCTAAGAACGACTTACGATTTACGAATATACTGAATATGCTGCAGGGTGTTCTATGTAACTCTCCACATTTGTTCATGGTTCTGTCACTTATTTCACTGAAATAAGGGAAAATGGCTAGCAAAATTGTCGCTACACAGTGAAACGAGAGTTGTCTTTGTCTTGAACTTATATCCATTTTATCCTGAGAGCCATATTCTGACCCAAGCACCGGCAACAAAGAAACATTGTTGACGACCTCGTCCTATATTTTCCCACATCCTCTCGCCCTGCATTGACACTGGGTCTCGGCACGTCGAAATGACCTCCTAATATCTAGAACCTAGATCAATCCCATTGATAATTACAAAGTCGAAAGCCTCTTACGGTGACTTACCTCCAAGTCCTTTTCGTTCGTGGTGTTAGCATTCCTGCAACAAAAGAAAAAAGTATGTTAATCAGCGTCATAAATCACGACTTTTATACTTCATATTCACAATTTAATAGTGTGAATGAAATACATCACTCGCCGTGGCTATGAATGGTAGGTACTTAAAGCCGATGCAATTTGTCGTTGATAATAAATGCATTATAAATTGGCATTACTGGCCGTTCCATGCAGATAAGAGGACAAAGGCTAGCCATTCTCGCGTCTGGCCGCGCTGTAATCAGTTACACGGCATGCCGCATTTAAATGCTCATTAATCACTACCTGCAACCAAACGTTTTACACATTGCGACACAATGGCTATTATGTTCATACATGACCTAGCACGGCCCATGGCTACACGAGACACCATTTCGGAGCTGCTCAAGCTACCTCAGCAGTAGGATAGGAGACATTCGAACACATCGCTCGACGAAAACTCGTCAACATGAGTCGAAGTGAGCTGAAATGGGTAAGCGGCCCTCAAATACGGGACTTCTCTCCGCCTGAGCAAATCACGGCAAAATCCAAAATAAACGATTCGTCATTTTACTCCGTCTAAGCTGAGCCTTGGTGTGTAACGGCTTTGCTATTATATGCGGCATCTGACGGAGCGCATATAATTTTAGATTTCCATCGCTAGATGGCACTAGTAGTGAGCCCCTGAAGTAATGCTGTGCCGCACAGCACAAACGCCCACGATTGATGACGTAAAGATCGATTTACCTGTTAACGTTAGACGCATTTGAAAACGGATGAAGGGAAGGGCAACAGACATGTGCTTGGATCCGGGAAAATGGATCTGAGATCCGATCCCATGGATCCCGATCCGAGATCCATTCAGATCATAGATCCAACCCCTCAATTTTGTCGAGAGATCTACTGGGATCATAGATCTGACCCTTCAATTTTGTCGATAGATCCACTCGGATCATAGATCTGGCTCCCCAATTTTGTCGTGAGATCCACTGGGATCATAGCTCAAAGGTGCACAAAATGTTTAAACTTTCTTGTATAAAGAAGTTATAAATACCAAAGTATGGTTAGAAACAAACAATCTTATACAAAGGCCATATTAGTAAAGGGCATCCATTTACATTATACAGAATATAAAATAAAGGAGGCTCATGATGGTCACAACTTGAGTGAATTGAGTAACATGAAGATTATTCACATACCAACAGAAAAGTTTGCATTAACAATTAAGATACAGGTAAGTAATGACTAATGAAGAATACATTACTAGGTACATCACAATTAATGTTAGAATCTACATACTGATAAGACAATCTTGCATTAGACAACCATGAGGCTTTCCAGCTAACACAATTAATTGATAAACAATAAAAGATGATATTGACACCTGTGGCTTGGCTAGGTAAAGGTATTTCAATCTATTGAAACTAATATTTGATAAAATAAACTGAGATATCAACAAAAGTATAAAAATATTCAACAGCCTGGGGAACACGCTGGGGAAGCGAAATATCAATTGTAATGGCCTTGGATATATACACCGTAAAATGACTATTCAGTCTCTAAATAGAATTGGTGACGTCATTTCAAATAACAAATGAGCTAAGTGTTCTACTTTTGAGTATAATAATAATAAATAAAAAATCAAACTGGAAATTCAAAAGTCTGTTTTTTTCTTCAAAACAATGTTCATTTTTTTCTGCCTCACATAATTTTACGTTATGATTGTTCGTGAATATCATCTTTGTAGCGTTGAATTTAATGACGTACACGTAAGCTGAAATGGTATTACATAGCCCTTGAGCGGGAGACATTCATTGCGCGAGTGCTACAAGTGCGCCTTGCATCTTTTTTATTCACTTTTCAAAAAAATCACAATATCTTACGTCATTAGTCCAAAGGGCCTATAACGGGGAACCTTTTGGAATCATTACGGTTTTAGTCAGATTAAGATTTCTCATTGGTCAAACGTTAATGACGTAATAAAACAGTATTACCAAAACGTGAGCTGTGAATTTCGTTTGTCGTTTTTGGGAGGCTCTCATTACGACAGCAGCATGGCACCGCATTTGGCACGGTGCCAAAGTAGGTAATCTGAAGAAGTTAATGCCTCTTTTGAACTTGGAATTTTATTAGGAAAGTATTAGAGGTTGGTTGCTACTCTTTTTCTTACTAAATCGAAATTGGGTTTTCATACCTGGTAGAATAAGTGGATTGCTGGATTATTTTGAGCAAGACTAACCTACTTGGCTTCCAGGTTTGATTTCCCAACATCTGTCCATAGGCGGCGGAACGGGAGGGGGGTGGCACCAGGGCACCGTGCCCCCCATAGATTTTTGCATTTTAACATTAGCCCTACTGGCGTTGCATGGAAAGAATGGGACCAAAAGTCTGCAGTGCCCCGCCGCCACTGCATCTGTCTGTACTGTTTGTTCATTGAATTAAAGTGGCTGTAGCTTGTTGATATGATTGTCATCAGTGCTGTCATGAAAAAGTTACAACTGGTCACAAAAAGTAGCGATGTGCATGTTCTTGGTTTATTTTAAATGTAGTACAAATGTTCTTTATTTAAAGTCAAATTTAGATGATACTTAATGATTGCAACTGGTCCTAACCATGTCCACAAGTGACAATTCTCAATTGTATTGCATTGTAAGGTGTAAAATTATGTAGGATAAGGTTTCATTGGCTACATCTTGTCGTGAGATCCATACAGATCATAGGCCCTCCACAAATTTTTGCCCGCTGGATCCACAGAGATCATAGATCCGACCCCTAAATTTTGTCGAGAGATCCATTCAGATCATAGATCCGACCCCTGAATTTTGTCGAGAGATCCACTCAGATCATAGATCCAACCCCTCTATTTTGCCGAGAGATCCACTGAGATCATAGATCCAGCTCTCGGATCCATGCACATGTCTGAAGGGCAATACGGCAATGATATTACATTTTGGTTCAGCATACTGCATAATTGAACTAATTGGGTAGCTGCATCTCAATCTCAGGAAATCAATTTTATCCTGGCAATTGAAGAAACGAATGCCGAGTCATCTTAATCGCCCTAAACAGGTAGGTTGGGAGTAAAGAAAAGAAACATGAATCAATTAAATTGTAATTGCACAGCTGATTGTAATTACGTGACCTTCTGTAAGGTATGCAAGTTCTGTAACTGCATGACTGACAGACCGCAGTCGCACTACACACGGGCGGCGCCGGAGCCCGAAATATCTGATTACGCAGACCAGATGAGACAGCCCACATCAGATCAGATCATACCGAAACAGGATAGGTAACCCGTCAGCCGGTGACAAAAACTCCATCCTGCTGCTCATCCTGACCGGACCGGTCACTAACTATCTAATGGATACAAAACACCACGGTTCGTCGGTTTCACGGGTGAAGCTACATGACACCTGAGCTGAGCACCAATCGAATCGAGGTGGTCATTATAGGAAGAGGTCGTCACATGACTATTGAACCAATGAACGGAAAGCGGACACCGCCCCCGCGCGTCATACACCGTTCGTTGGATGTATGTGGGAGAGACATCCGCCTCTAAGGGAGATAAGTTATGGGGTGATAGAAGCGCTGGGTGTAGAATGTAGATGTGTGTAGGAGGGATGGAGAGCCTTTGAGATGAGTGCGTGTGGGACGGGGAGAATGCTCGCTGGAGTCACCACACCCACTCAACCCGACAGAAGGCCCAGAGTTCGTCAGTCTCGCCCACACCACGCAGCTCCTGGCTCACAAAATTCAGCTCCTCCCTCTCTAGCCTACGCCAAGCACGCAGCTCAAATGGCCCGCCCTTCCCCTTCCCCCCCCCTCCACTCCATCCTCCCCTGCCCCGCCCCGTCCGGTATACCCGTGAGGTCAGCACAGGGCGGCGGCTGAGTGGCTGTCTGGGTCACAATGGGCGCCTTCTGTAGACGCTCCTCTCGTGTTGACGTTCGGGATGGGCGCACGGACTGATGAATAGAAGCTAATGTATATTGTGTGTCTCTTTTCATGACGATTATCGGATGCATTTGACCACATTTCGCGCAAAAGTATGCCCCACAACACAGAAAGCAGACAGCGCTTTGACAAGGAAAATTTCAGGGCAGGAATAAGTCATTGATTTACGTGCTTCACTTTACACCAGCCCATGGACCGGATCAGAATCGACTCTTTTCCCGTAAGGTCGGTCAAAGTTGACACACTAACACTGTTATCAAACAGACGGCAGAAATAGCTGGCCTTGGTGTAATCCAAAGCTTCAGTGCGCCGACCGGTCCCGGAATTTCAATACAAAGTAAGCGACGTTACTCGAAGCGGAAACGGCCGACAAACTTCACCGGTTCGGTTTATTTGCATTTGGCACAACATTTGCGTAACGGCCGGTTTGTTATGCTACTGAAAATGAATGAAGCTTCAGAGCTCGACACAGGTGAGCGAAAGGGACGTGGCATAACCTAAACACAAAAGCAGTCGTCCTTTGATGATCTCCCTCGATAGAAATATCTACCGGAATCGAGAGGGCTAGTTGTGAAAGCGACGTGCCACCTAAAGAGAGCCACGCGTTTGAAATCGTCAAAAAAGTGTATCCGAACTGTCAGAGCCACTTCTCACAAACACAAAGACCACAACAAAAAAGGTCATCGCAGCTCCAAAATACAGCTAATGTAGGGAGAAACCATTGTGAAACCACTTTCAAAGACGGGCAGACGGTGAAGGGCGATGGCCGGCTCATATATGCCAGCTTTGTAACAACACGTGAGCGGTAGAGGTTCATCGCACAGAGACATTGGACCTTGAGTTCATCGAAAGACCAACTGAAAAATAGAAAAGATAGCCTTGAGACAGGCTCATGGACAGGCTCATGCTACTTCACATCGCTCAATGACAAGTGTTCATTGTAAGTTGAAGTTGAAACTCAAGAGTAGGAGCCCGTCAGCCCGCATTTGTCGAAGCTGGCCAAGACGATACATTATCTTCAATTATTATCAGCGAGAGTTTGGCGTAAGAGATTAGTCTAAGGGCACGCTA